GACTGTACCCTGCATGCTGCAGCAATAACATGCGCTCTATGTGATCCAGGCGCCGTATCCGCCGTGGTCTGTTCATGGGGACTACCGACGGCACGTCGTGGCATTCCACGGAGCGGTGTGTCTTGGCGAGGCCGATGGGCGGCCCATGGTCACTTGGGACGGCACTGCCCCCGTAGTCCACGTCGAACGTGTACGTGGCGGCGGTGGTGAACGTGACGCGTTTGTGTGTCTTGGTGGTGGACGTGGCGAGGGGTGGGAGAAACTCGGCGGTCTTCCACGGCATGAAGGTTGGGGCGGGGACATGCCATGGCAGGGCAGTTGTGTTGCTCATGGTGGTGGCGGCGCGGTGACTTTCAGAATGAATCGAATTGGTGAGTGGGGCAGTTTCTTGGAACCCGAGCCCTACTACAATGTACCAAACGCATACACTGGTTGGATCTGCGTTAGAGTCGGCAGCGGCGGGACGGCGTGGTCAAAACGTGGAGATGAAACATAAGAAGGGGCCTATGAGCACAAGGCAACCCTGGTCGCGTAAGACATCCCTCCATTCCGAAAGGCGTCGGAGTCATCTAACGCCCGTTGTTCCCGATTCTCCCAACTTCATCGTACGCAAACCATCCCAATGGAATCTCCGACACCGTGGACGCGCGCATCTTGGCCGACCACGCCATCTATGACCAAGAGTCCCCACGTGTAATTGCAGACAAGAAGGAGACAATTGGACGTTACGAGGACGTAGTTCCAACGTCTTCACGCAGTCAAGGGGACCTCGAAGCCATCTCCACGCGTGGTTTGTCCATCGTGGCGGTCAACGTGCCGCGTGGCAGTCGACATCACGTTGTGATGTTCCGTTGTCTTCAAAATGCGCACGGCCGATCTGTCGAAACAGAAGTTAAGTGGTCGTGTAACCGCTCAGATTCGGACGTTTCACGATTGTTGCGAAACGTCGCGATGCGCGGTTACGTGTCGACGTGCTTGATTTCGACTCACGCGAAACTCCCGGGACGCATCCTCACAAGTACCTCCATGAGCCACACTAAAAAGGGGTTCGAGTGGTTGGTGGTTGATTTTGTGCTTCCAACCAATGATGACCAGTAATAATTCAACCGCCTGAACCTGGTGATGGCTATCGTGTGGTCACTGCAAGCGGCAACATCATCCAAGCGTACACAAAGCAACCAGCGAGTAAGCTATTTGCACAATTTTTCATTTGTGCCCGCTCTGGTCGACATGTGCGTGGAGAAGGCCACGTGACAATGCGATCGACCAAGACAAGTTGGACAACTGCCGAAGCAGTTCAAGCGTACCTCACTGACTGGCGGAATGCCCAGCACAAACGAAGCGCGTTTTGCTTCGCGTCACAGTTGGTCCTAGCATGTCGTTGGGCGTGCCACGTCATTGTCTTGCCCAGTTCAACCATTTTCGAAGGTAGTGTTTCAACGACAAAGAAAAAGCGAAAAAACGTTTGTTTCTCGAAAAGTATTCGGAATTGTAATATAGAGTGCATGGGCGGCTACGATCCGAACCTGCCCATTCGATTTAAATAATGATTTGCAAACTTTTTATACTCAAAGCCGAGAGATGTATGTGCTTTTAAGAAGAGGAAGTTGTCGAATTAGATTTTCTCGGGTGACCACCCACCCAATGCCCTTTGTTCCACAACTTTGAATGGTCACCACACGGGTCGGCATTCACCATTCTTCAGTGCCAGCCACTTCCATCGACCATGGACGACGTCGTGAACCTCCACAAGCGCCTAACAAAGTTTCTCGCTGGCGACGACAACGATCAAAATGGCGTCGCCGACGCGATGGACCACCTCAACAAGGTTGACATGACGCTCGCGATCCTCAAAGACACCAAGATCGGTCAAACGATCGCAAAATTGCGAAAGCACGATGCCGAGCTCGTGTCGTCCAAGGCGAAGATTCTGCTGAAGAAGTGGAAAACCCTGGCGTCGCGGCCGAGCGATTCCGACATCAAAGTCGAAGCCGATGGGAAGAGCGAACCGGGAACTCCGGGACCCAAGGTGAGTCCCACTACGAGCGACGGGTCGCTGAAAGACGAGGCCAAGTGGCCGGAGAAGGACGAGACGGCTCCAGCTATCACGATCCGCCGTCCATCCATGCACGCACTCGCGAGCCAACGTGGCTCCACGCCGTTCGAATTTATTCCCAAGGGGTTGCAGGACGTCCGCGCGACGGTGCGACGAAAGCTCAAGGAAGTGCTATGTCTGGCGGAAGCCCCGGATCTGGTGGGAGAGGCCGAGCTTGTCGCCGTTGCGATTGAAGTTGCGATGGCGCGCGAATACAATATGGACTCTGCGCGCAACACGAACGAAGGGAAGAAACACTACACGGACAAGTACCGCCAACTGTCGTTCAACCTCAAGAAGAACGTGAATTTGCGGTTGAACTTGCTCACGAACAAAGTGACCGGTGATCAACTTATTAAGATGACTCCGGACGAAATGGCAACGGACGAGCGGCGGAAGGAGATGGACCAGCTACGCGACGACGCGTTCCAACGGGCGCGCCTCGACTGGGCGGAAGCAAACGCGGACAAGATCAACAAGGCGTGCGGAATCAAGGACGCGCGGGGGCTCTTTACATGCGGCCGATGCAAGTCGACGAAGACGAGCAACACCCAACAACAGACACGTAGTGCGGATGAACCCATGACGGTGTTTGTCATTTGCCACGACTGCGGCAAGCGGTGGAAGTGCTAGGCGCGGTCTCTGGAATTATTTAAGTAACATGCGTTTAATGGAAAGCACACGGGCTTGTGCATCTGTCGGGAGTGCTAGATGGGTAGCAGTGGAGCAGGTTGCGTCCTGGGCGTTCGGACCAGAGATGAGGTCTCGAGTTGGGTGACGCCAGTACGTTGCCCAGCAAGGCCTGGTCAAGTGGCAGCATCTGAGTTGCTGCCGTGCCGATGGCATGTATCGGTGTGTGGGATGTCTCGAGGAATTGCATCGTATGTGGTCGCAATGGTTCTCGAGCGACGTCGACAAGAATGACATGGACATTTGACGCTGCACGGCAACTCAAAGCAACGCAGCATTCCGTCCGAGAGCGAAAGACCCTTCCGCGACACTGGCTTCGAGCACTTTGACCATTAAACAGCACCAAGTCGATCAGGATGGGTTCGTGGCTGAAAGATCCGATAGTTAGGAGTCCGTTGAGCCAACGGTGGTAGTGCGACGAGGAAAGCGAAGCGAGTCACGGGCGATGCATTGATAGCTCGGAAGTCCATCTCCTCTTCTAGCCCAGCAAGGGTGTGCAGGAAGGCCAAGCAGCTCGACTCGTTAGTGCTCAGGATGAGAGCTCTGATTCAAGTACACAGACCAAGATTCGATCTGACACGTTCGATGGTTGTTCAGGTGATCTTTTTTATCTCTACGGGGCCCAAGGCTACCCTGCGCGTGGCGGCACACACCTTAACTACACTTGTGAGTGGCGAAGGATTTGGATCGCTTTTGCTCCAGTTTGGACCGCTCTGTCTTCTTAAGGGGACGGCGAAGCAGCAAACACGTACGGCTTGGCATTGCGGAACGTCGACATGTCACGGATCGAGTTGGCGTGAAACTTGTACTCGATCAACGTGTTGGAGTCGAGCATGAGAATCTCCTTGAGCTTTTCCCTGCGGACGCAGTCATGCACACCCGACAGAACGTTCGAGAGGGAGCGTGCTGCGGGACGTACCCAATGGCGAACCGAATGTTGTCGTCCGAATTGTCCGCATTCCAGACCGAGATCATGTCTTCTTTGGATCGCAGAGCCATGGCAATCCCAACCACGTTCAACGTTTCAAACGCTTCGCCGATCACGGCAAAGAGCAAATCTTGCCACATCTTCCCGAGCACGTTGGCCTTCTTCTTGATCTTCAAGATCCAGCACCCGCCGTTCGGGAACGCCTACAGACCCGAGTGGGCCACGCTGTTTCGATTGAAGAGTGAGCCGATACCTCCCACATGGGCGCGCAGTTGGGCTGGTCGCGAAACAAGTACAAGTTGGTGTCCTTGGCCAGTTGCGACGGGCGCTTCACGTGAATGTAGTGACTACGCCAACGATGACGCAAACCAGCTGCGAAGTCGAAGCGACGTAGCAGCCGAACGTACCGCCAAAAGTCTTCGACCGTGTTGAAGTTGGCGATCTTTTGCAAGTTGGATTGGTATGTGCTGGAGATAAGTTTCGCGTTAGGTCGCGCAGAATGGCAATGGCAGCACCTAGCCTACCTCACATCGGTCCGTTTGGGCATCTTCTTGTCAAACCTGCGTAGGCACACATCGTGACGATCCGAATGCGTCACTACACCACGTACCACAAACTCCATCCAGTTTGCAATTGATGCTCCTCCACCACGGGGTGCTCTACACGTTGTCCACGTCAGTCACACGAAGCCCTCCATCGCCCTCTACCTTTCTTGTCCTCGTGGGCCATGGTCCCGACGCCGCGCCGACAATTGCTTGACGTTGGATTATGCGTCCGCCCACCAACCAATCCACGCTCCACCGAAAATCGGACCAATCTCGTCGCGCCTCAAATGCTGGCCCAATCAAATCGCTCAATTCTATTTTTATCGGCGTATATTACGTGCGAAACTCTCACAAGACGACTGGAGGAACCGGAGCCGCGAGCCGGGCGGCAATGCGTCCTGAGCCACGACAAGAATGGCCAGCATACTGTAGCTTGGCCTGAGCGTGCCAGATTTGCGCGCGAAGAGCTTGGGCGGTGTCAGAGTGTAGATTGAGCTGAGCAGGCCAACAATGGTCGCGAAAGACAGTAGCACATCATGGATGCGGTAAAAAGTGCCAAATGCACCACGATCGCAGTCTGGGCATTCGTGGCCACTCCCACGTTTGCAATTCCGCTGCAACCACCCTAGTGCGTGGCTAGGAACGCTTCCGTGCGATGGCAAAAGTCATAGTTGTTGGCAGGCTGTGGAATCCGTGGTCTTCATGGGGGTGCACTACGTACGACACGTCGTGCTGGCTTGGAAAAACTCTTTCTCGGTTGATCACTTTCGAGCTGAGCGACGCGGGGGTCATTGTACGAGGTGGGCGTCCGTAAAGGTCCATCAATAGAACCGAATTCCGCCCACACTCTTGAACGTGACTTGGGCGGCCGCCGATGGATCGTCAACCGAATGTACAAACTAGTTCATCACGCCGTGCGTCGCGTCGGCAGACACGTACGTGAGCTGACGAGCTGACCGGTGAGATCGGAGCAATCGAACTCTCGGCATTGTCGAAGTGCACGCGAAGCGGTACTTCCCTCGGGAGCGACGGTGTCGACGAGGAAGACGAGTCAACAAATAGTGTTGAGAGCGCGCCGCACCACTCGCAGTCAGGCTGGAAATGATGATCACGTGAGGTGTCATCTCCCCCGTGTCACCGTGCCTTCCCAACGTGTCCAAGTGACCCGTGCCACTGATGGATATTGACGATGAATTTTCAATGGTTTGCTTGTCCAATCATAGTTTTCCTATGTGTTTTCTCGGAAAATCCTAATGGTGAATGTTTTAACGAATCAAAACATGCATTCATGTCGAGGCTGGGACAAGGGGAGCCAACGATCGCATGCCGAGATGCCCCCCAACGACTGAATCCCTGCCTCTTCAAACCCACTGTCGCATTTTGTCCCCAACCATGGACAGCTCGGATGGTGACGCCGAGCCCCTGGTTGCCTCTGGTCTGCCTAACCTCTCGAATAGCGAAAAGCAGATGAAGTATGGTCCACTTCTCATTCTGACCGTAGCCCCCCTCGTGGCGGGGATGGTCGCCGCTTATGCTGTGTACACGTATGGGAACAAGCCCGAGTACGATCACCGCATACGAAGTGCACAACGGAATGCCGAGTTCGGGTGGACTTGCCTCGCAGTTGTGATGATTGGCCGTCTCATTGCATTTGCCAACTGCTATCCCTTGGCACTCGAGAGCTGTTTCCTCACTAAGGACGACCGCCAGCTGTGGACAAATCCATTCATGCTGGTTGAAATTGGAAGTAACGCCACCAACAACGTGATTGTGATGGACCTAGATGGACCCGTTGGCATGTATAACCGAGCGAACCGAGCGCTCCAAGACATGGTGGAAACATGCGGAGTGGTGCTAGCGGCCCTGTACCTGGCGTCGACGGTATTTGCGCTCCCTGCCGCTGTCGTAGCTCTGGCGTTCTGCGTGGGGTGGTTTCTGCATGTGGTGTTATATGCGGCCAATCACGACAGTCCTGAGGTTGGCAATGTATTAGCTACGTTTGCAGCAGCAATGCTGGAAGGCATGGTGGCATTGATGGCATTGATGGCATTGATTGCCCAGACGGAAATGTAATAAATAACTTTTTTGTTATATCATGCACCTACTACACGCGCTTTGGCTGGATTGGGTTTTCATCTGACAGGTGTAGGCCAGTGGCCAATACAGTGATGCCTCCATTTTTGCAACAGGTCACATTCAATATCCTCCGAGAACTAATTCATTCATTTCGAGCAGTAAGATTTGAA